CGAGGAGAGGATCCAGGAGGAGGAGTTGCAGAGGTGAGCCTCTTGTCTGCAGTGGCGTGCGTCCCTGTTCCGTAGGGAGGGGTGGGCCTGGGCAAGAGGCTGGTGGGCACCTTGGGACCTGCCCTGTCGTCAGGTGCCCCGTTTACCCAGTGATCTTTTGATTGACGATGCAATAGATTGAACCCATTTTAGCACCACACGTTATTGCCCCTTGCCTGTTAATTCCATTTGCCAGGTTAAAAATAACTGGAAGCGGGGAGGGGGGGCGGGTTCTAATGGGTAGTATGGCACCAAAGAAATATTCCCAAAAACAAATTAGATATTTAAGTATAGAGGCCATTTTTTTCTGGTAACCAGCATATCCAGAAAAGTGCACATTCAAAACAGGCTGTAAAATAAGCCCAAGGGTGTGCGTGTGTGAGATATCTTGCCATTTATAAAATGACTGCAATCCAGATGGGACTTGGGCTTTGCGCGGACAGCCCTCGGTCTCTGTGACTTGTGTCCTGGCACATTTAAGAAGCTGGGAGGGGTTTGCCTGTTTGCACAAAGCAAGTGGCCCGAACATCCTAACCTGTAAGAGTTAGGTTACATTTTTTTCTGCTTTAGAACTCTTCGAATACTGTGTCATTAGGCATTGTCTGTGGAAAACCTATTGGCTTTTATTTTTTTAGTCTGTAGTTCCGAGACTATAATTTCCAGATAATCTTAGAAGATAAATGCTTTTGCACTACAGTGTTTCTATATTCCTTTTAAACTGATAACTCTAAAATTGTGCCCCTCACCCACCCACCTCCTCCCCGCTTCTAAACCGTGATTAGGAACCAAGAAGGCCAGTTCCCTCCTCTCTACCCTAGAGTCTGTTTCTTCTAAATATTTCTTAAACAGGAAGAGAACCTGTTCTACGTTTTTTGTCACATTAAAAACGAGAATAGAGTGGTAGAGTTTATACTGCGACCTACTGGGCATATATAATACCCAAATGCCAAGCAGCAATTTATGCAGTACTGAATTGAGAACAAATGCTAGACTCTCTTAAGAACTGGGACTATGTTTCTAGCAAGAAAGATGGCTTTTAAAAAGGTCGATTGTGTCCAGGATAGTATGGCTGCTGATAAAAGATGACCTTTTTTTTTTTTTTTTTTTTTTTTTTTTTCTGAATCAGGGTTTCTCTGTTCTAAAACTCACTCTGTAGACCCTGTAGACCAGGCTGACCTCGGAGAGATCTTCCTGCCTCTGCTCTTAAGTGGGATTAAAGGCATATGCCACCACCGCCTGGCTCAAAAGATGATTTATGAATGTGGTTTAAAATCGTAATCACAAATGATTCTGTGTATAAAAAACCTTAAAGCAAGATAGCTATTTTGGTAATCCTTAGTATTCTTTTCTATTTAGTCACCCTCCCCCTCAGTGTTTTGAGGCAGGGTCTGTCCATTTTTTGCCCAATAGTCTTGAACTTTTAGTTCTTCTGCCTCAGCCTTCCCAGTGCTCATTGGAAAGAAAACTAGGATACAGGTGTGCCATCACACCTGGAACTGCAGCATGTATTTTTTCTTACATGATTTGGATTCTGTTTAATAAGGAAAGAATAGTCTTGGCGTCCTAGCCATTTGGTGGTTAAGAACCTCTTAGAGGTTGGATGTGGTGGCACATGTGCCCATATATCCTCCGCCCCCCACCCTCCTTGAGATACAGAAGCAGGAGGAGGGAGCTCTGTGAGTTTGAGGCTAGCCTTGTCTGCATGGTGAGGTCCAGGACTACACAGAGCCGTCTCAAAAGAAAAAGAAAGAAAACATCTTAAATCCAATCTTAATAATCTTATTTAAATTTTTGAAGCAGTGCTGCATCAGCTGTAGAAATCATTTTGTTAATATCCCCCCATTCTCACCCCTGACAGGATCTTATTCTTATAGCCTAGGCTGTCCAAAAATTCACTATATAGCCTACATTGGCCTCAAACTAGGGATAATCCTCCTGAGTGCTGAGATTATCGGTATGCACTACCATGCCCAAGAGAAAATAAAGTCTATCTTTTTATATTTTTATTACATTTATGTCGTGTGTGTGTGTGTGTGTGTGTGTGTGTGTGTGTTGGGGGGTGTTGCTCTTAAACACTACAGCTTTTGTGTGGAGGTCAAAGAAAGATTTGTGGGAGTTTTTTCTTCTGTCATGTGGAACCCTGGTATCAAACTCAGGTCCTCAAGTTTAGGGGCAAGCGCCCCACCTCCTAAGCCGTCTCTCTGGTACTGAAATCAGGTCTCTTAATACTCATCCAGTTGACGACGACGACGACGACGACGACGACGACGACGACGATTACTACTACTACTTCTTTTTTTTTTTTTTTTTTTGGTTTTTTGAGACAGGGTTTCTCTGTGGCTTTGGAGGCTGTCCTGGAACTAGCTTTTGTAGACCAGGCTGGTCTCCAACTCACAGAGATCTATCTGCCTCTGCCTCCTGAGTGCAGGGATTAAAGCCAGTTGACTTCTTAAGCAAAATATCTTTGTGGACTATTGTGCTAGCTGGTGTTCTGGGGCAACTCCCTTGGAAAAATACAGCAGTTTTTCTTTTTTTCTATCTTTTTTATTTACAGAAACAAAAAGAGGAAGGATGTTAGGAAATATGAAAATATAGGGGGAAATGTTCCATTAACCTCATTTTTAAAAAGTTACAGTTCATTGCTCTAAAAGTTTGAGTAATTCTGTTTAATGAGAAATTAATGCTAGTAAATCTTCACAAGGAAAATTGGCTATTTCCGCATTTCTGTCTTTTGGGGGCATTTAGAATTCATTAAACTTTTCAGTGTGTTATTAACTAGTGAAAAACCCTTCTGGCTTAAAGGAACTTTTGTGTATTTTACAAAGTTCTTATGTCAATAAAACGACATAAAAGGGACTTGAGATTTATTGAATTTGTTATTTTACCATTAACTAGCTGCTTGTCTAAAAATGCATGAACTACTTTTTGTCTTATTTCTAGATAATGTTTCAAATCAGTAATGCTGAAAACTCCTAATTCTTTCTGGTTTTGTTTCGTTTTTTTTTTTGAATCAGGGTCTCATTATGTAGCTCTGGCTGTTCTGGAACGTACTATGTAGACCAGGCTGGCCTCAAAATCAGAGATCAACCTATCTCTGACTTCCAAATCCTGGGATTAAAGGCATGTGCTACTATGCGGAGCCAAAGGTCCCTGATCTTGACAGTAGTGTGGAATTTGAGGAGGTTTTGTTAGGTAAAGCAGTTGTGTTGAAATCCCTACTTGTAGGGATGGCCTTACCAGAATTATTTTGGAGCCTGGGTTACTGATTGGTGGTGAGGTCAGCAGCCTGGCTGAGTCACGTATTGGTATGCTTACTCTGTTTTTTCCTTAGTCTTCACTACATCCCTTTCTCAAATATTGTTTTGGAGAGAGGAAAGCAAAGACTATCTCTCCTTGATCCTTGTACTAGTGTAATCTGCTGATTACTATTTCAGGAATAATCTCTCTTGCCCTTTTCTCTTACTAAGTCTTCTTAGATGGGAAGATTTAGACTCTTATCCTCTCCCAACAAGATTAGACACATAGAAAAGATGTATTTCCTTTCTTCACCTGATATCTATGATATTGTTTGTGCTTTTGTGTCAGTTTTATTAGCAGGTAGAAGTTGAAACCCTTCAGGGTAGTAATGGCCAAGTCTTGCTCCATCATCCATTCATACCGTGCTTTTCCAAGAGTACTGGATGCTGTAGCCCAGCTGGCTTTGAACTCACTTTGTGGGTAAGGATAGCCTTGAACATCATATTCTCATACTAATACCTCCTGAGTGTTCTATATGTGCCACTACATATGTGTTTTATGAGGTGTTAGGGAGTGACTCGAGGCCCTGCAAATATGTTGGACAAGAATTCTATTAACTGAGCTGTATCACCAGCCTTAGCCCCTGTTGTTAGGAAGAAGTTTACCAGGGGAAACAGATTTATGCTTCTCTCTCATTCAGGAATGGTGCTTGATATTAAGAGTGCATTTCTAGCCGGTTGGTGGTGGCAAACGCCTTTAGTCCCAGAACTCAGGAGGCAGGCAGATCTCTGTGAGTTCCAGACCACCCTGGTCTAGAAGAGCTAGTTCCAGGACAGCCTACAAGGCCACAGAGAAACCCTGTCTCGAAAAACCAAAAAAAAAAAAAAAAAAAAAAATTGCATTTCTAAAGAGCATGCCTTTTTAATCCCAGCACAGCTAGTTAGGTGGATCTCTATGAGTTAGAGACCAGCCTGGTCTACATTGCAAGTTCTAGGACAGCCAAAGTTCCATAGAGAAATCCTGTCTCCAAAGGGGGAAAAAAAAGAATGCTTTAATAGTCAAGAACAGTCCCCTTGCATGTTGCCAAGACAGGCCTGGAATTGTTCTGTTCTCTAGGCAATTGGTGCTGTGATTGTGCTTTTGTTGTCTTCTGCAGATCTAATTGCCTGCCATTAGAAAGATACTGCCCATATTTCTGTACTTAGACCTTTGCAGGGCTAGTCTTGAATTACATTTTGCAACTTTCAATTTAAAACTTTCAAAAGAAATGGTGAAACTTTTTTTTTCTTTCCCCAAGACTGGGTTTCTCTGTGTAGCCTTAGCTGTCCAGGAACTCACTCTGTATACCAGGCTGGCCTTGAACTCACAGAGATACACCTGCCTCTACCTCCCAAGTATTGGGATTAAAGGTGAGCACCACCATCCTTGGCTCAATCTAAATACTTTTACCTAAGTCTAAAGTATAAGAAAAATCTAGTAACTTGGAATTTTAGAGGTAATAAGAACCTTCAAGAAAAGGAGAGGCAGGTGTCTCTGAGTTAGAGGCCAAGTCTACAGAGCAAGTTCTAGGACAACCAGGGGCTATACAGAGAAACCCTGTCTCCAAAAATAAAACCAAAAACAAACAAGAAAAAAGAAAGCATGTCTTCACTTTACAGGTAAAATGAATCTCATAAGATTACACAATTAGTTGATATTAGAGCTAGGACTACAACAAACCTCTCAAGGACTTCTAAATTGCTCAAAAGTTTGGATTG